ATGGGGTGCATGACACATGATCCATCACCATGGTGTGTTGCCCTTAATTTTTTTTTTCCATTAAGGTTGAAACAACCTTAAAATTGATTGTCATGCCAGACCTCAAAGTTGCCCCAGGAGGCAGAACACCTGCTTTTATTCAGGAGTTCAGACTTTCTAAAACAGAAAGCTTGGGGAAGGGCCCACTAACGTGGAGTTTATACCTCCCGGGGGATTTTGATGTACTCTGATATTTGAGGAGCTTTGTCTGGTACATTTCAGAGCTAGATTTGAGAGGTCTAGCTGAGGTCCATGTTCAAAGCCAGAGTGACACCAGGCTCATCTACAGCTAAACAGGCCCAGAATCAAATTAGGGCTCCAGCACTTGCTAGTGGTGTGAGGCTTAGCAGGTTACTTAGCCACACTAAACCTTTGGCTTCTCATGTAGGAAATGGAAATAATACCTCCCTTCAAGATGTGTCATGAATGCAGACGTTCATGTCCTTCCCAGGTGGCTCTGGTGTCAGGATCGGTTCAGATGCCTAGTCTAACATTCATTGTGTGACTTAAATCAATTACTACACCTCTCTTCAGTTCATTTTCTAATTTGTAAAGTGAATACAATTACTTCATAGGATCATTGTAGGAAGTCAATGAATTTATATAGCTAGGTGTGGTGACTCACTCCTACAATCTAAGCACTGGAGAGGTGGGCACAGAGAATTAGAAACTCAAGGCTACTCTTGGCTATACAGCAAGCCAGAGGCCAGCTTAATCTAACCTGAGTGACCCTAAACAGAGGTTTAGAAGGTTGCCTTATAGACACATGGTGAGTTGTAATCCTAGCACTCAGGAAATTGAAACAGGATTACGAATTACAGGCAAACCTTAGTTACATAGTAAGCTTCTGTGTTTAAAAAAAAAAAAAAAAAGACTGTCACACAGTGTTGGATTAGTGCTATAAGTACACAAATAACAATAATAAAATATCTCACATAAACAAAAGACTCAGACCTAGATTGTAACAGCTCAATATCTGATAACATTGTTATTATAATTATAGAAACCTTTGCAATCTACTGTCTTTTCTGTCTTCTAAATAGTTTCTGTGGATTATATTAAAATTAACTACCTTTTAAGAAGAAACTTATTTATTTTTATTGAATATGTATGATTATAGGCCTGTGCATGATTGTTTGCCTGTGTGTATGTATAATGTATATATGTGTGTATGATGTATGATGTATGTATGCATGATGTATATATGTTCGATGCATGTATATATGTGTATGTATGTATGATGTATGTATGTATGATGTAGGTATGTATGATGTGTGTATTTTGTATGTGTGTATGTATGTATGATGTATGTATTATGGTGTATGTATGTATTATGTGCATCACATGCATGTAGTGCCCTTGGAGGTCAGGGGAGTGTTAGATCTCCTAGAGCTGGAGTTACAGATAATAGTGAACCATCCACCCTGAGTTCTGGGAACTGAACTCCAGTCCTCTGCAAGGGCAGCAAGTGTTCTTCTCTACGGAGCCATCTCTCCAGTCCTAAATGCCTTATTTTGATAGTTATATAAGACACTACCATTGGAAGAATAGAATAAAGAGAAGTAAAATCACCTAGTACCTTTTTGTTGTCATTCTTATGAATTTGTATTTATTTAAAAATTGAAAAGTTTTTAAAAAATCATGGCAGGGAGTTTGTCTGAAGTGGGAGGTATTAGGATGAGGGTAGAGCCTAATTCAATTCAATTTGTTTCTTTGATTAAATAGTTGAAGCTAATTTTGAGAAACAAGCTATCCTGGTATGGAGTCATATACAAGCAATGGCAGCACTGGAGAGGCAGAAGCAGGAGAACCAGGAGTTCAAGTCCAGCTTTGTCTCCATAAAAAAACTGAGGCCAGTCTGGACTGCATTCGATGCTAGGTCAACAAACAAACAAAATCCTAGGTGTTTCCCTCACTTAAATTAAAACCAATTTCAAAATAAACAGTAATTTTCTTCAGACTCCCCCAGCCATAAATCATAAGCTTCTGGAAATAAAAAGACATGAAGTCCCCCATGACTGGTCAACCGCTCCCCAACCCCTACAGAGAAAATACAAGATGCTACTGTATTATCCTATTTTCTGTTACTATAACAAAATATTTTAGCCTGGCTACTTCCTAAAGGAAAGAGGTTTCACAGTTTTGGAGCTGTTCAAATAGCATTATACTGACTCCGGTAAGCTCCCATCCCCTGTGGCAGATGGGATCATGGTATGAGAGTTGTGAGAGGAAGATCTTATGGTTAGACAGGCAACCAAACAAAATTGGCCAGTCAGGCTTGGCCTCTTTTCACAACAACTCTCTTGGGAAGTACCAAAGGGTCTCACAAGAACTCTCTTCATCCTTTCTTAAGAAAATTCCTCTGAGACAGGTAACCAAGGTTCAATACATGAACAAGTGACATAGTACACACAAACTATAGTGACTTGAAAGAACCAGCCCAACAGTAACAAACACAAATTATATTTTAGTAAGATCTAGCAATGTATAAAATTCCTTCTTTGCTTTATTTAATAATACTATGTACTACTCTCATTTTGATCACATAATCACAAAGCCGTAAGACAAAAATTCTCTCTCTCTCTCTCTCTCTCTCTTTCTCTCAATTCATCCTTACACCAAAATTTTCTTATCCTAAATCCACCTTTCGTTTCTTTCACTTTTTTTTGAGACAGGTTCTCGTTCTGTAGCCTATTCTCACATAGAACTCAGACTCATATTTCCAAGTGCTGACATTAGAGCACAGTTTGCCACATTTAGATTTCATGGGTTTGCTTTTGAACACTGGGTCTCTCAGTGTACCTGGACTGGCTTCAGAATTCTGGAGCTTACTGCCCAAGTCTCCTAAGTCCAAGGATTATAGAATACACCACTATAACTGGCTTAGTCATATTTTAAAATATACTGGTGCTCTAGCATGTAAATCCAATATCACTTCAAGTAAATCAAACTTTGGAGAATAAAAATATATGCGGGAGAGAGTCTCCAAGTATGGGGACCTGAGTCGGTTCCCCAGCAAAGCCAGTGCAGATGTGTCTGCCTGTGATCAGCACTGGGAGGTGAAGGCAAGAGGACAAGACAGCACATCTTAGATGGTGAGTTTCCGGTTCAGTGAGAAACCTTGTCTCAGGGCCATAAGTCAGAGAGCAACAACGATGTGGGACATCTTTCTCTGTCCTCGTTTGCACAAAGATGTGTATACCCGAATATGTTCACATACCACACACACACACACACACACACACAATGAACTTCATCTGAATTTTTAAGTTCTGAATTCACCTTACATTCAAGTTAACCTTTAGTGTGAATTTTTTGAATAAACAAAAAGCTTGTTTGCCAAGCCTGGCAAAAAGTATAGACTCTGTATCTACAGGGTTTTGTTTCCACCGTTCCTCCCATTATAAATAATCTTCAAGAGACTCCTATGCTCCTGCTTCTCTTTAGTCCTCATTCCTAAAAGAACTCAGTCCTTTAACCTGTCTAAACCCATTGTCTTTTTATTATACCTTTAAAAAACACTCTCTCTTGACTTTAAAAGTGTTTATGATATATTTGCATACTAAACGTTAATTTCTGCATGTGGTTATGCCCAAACAAAATATACCAGAAAGAACCAGAAGCCAAAAGTTCCCAAAGGGTTTTGTAATATAGGGTCTTTTGCTAAATTCAGACACATTTAGCTTCCTCATTCCTTCTGACTTTAAATTGCCACTGCTTCACGAAATCACACACATTTGAGGAACTAATAGTTGGTAAATGAACACACACATTTGTTTGTTTGTTTTTAGACAGAGTATTATGATGTAGCTCAGCGTGGCCTCAAACTCATATTCACCTGCTAGATTTAAAGTATGGATCACCACGCTCAGCTTAAATATAATTCTGAAAACATTTCCTCACTCTCTTTGCTGAACCTAGGGCCTCCAGCATAATTAGCCTCTTCCAGTGAGTTGTATCTCTATTTTTTAATCTTGAGATGAATGCGCGAGAGGAGGGGGAGTGTCACTAAACTGCTCAGAGTGGCTTTGGACTCTTGCTCTGGCTGGCCTTGCTCTTAGGATACTTCTTTAACTGCTGCTCCTCCTCACGCCCAGTAGCTAAGATTACAAAGCGAAGATTACAAAGCGCGTCACCAGCCCGGAGCTCTTCTGAAAAATTTGAGAGGTTTTTTTGTATCTGTTTTACTTCCGCCTTTGGTTACAATGTTCCTGGTTAAGAGGTATCTTTGGAATGAACTTCCTTTATCAAGAGTCACAATGTTGCATTTGCTATGTCAAGGATCATAGTCGTCGTTCTCTATAAAGTAATATTTTGTGATTAAGCAGTTTAATTTTCCAAGAGAAACTGTCCAAAAGGGGGTATTAGGGAAGCATCAATTCTTCCCAAGTTTCTTCCTGTTGCGGGCACTCGGTCAGAGGCCCCCTTACTTTTCCTATCCGGTCGCTCTAGCTTTCAGAATGCACATCACCCTAGTCAGTCCTAGCCCGGACGCCCGGCCCTAGGATGGTTCGCAATTCCCGGTACAGGACTCAGACTTTACGACTCCGCACGAAGCTTAGACACACCTCTTTGCCTTCCAAAGTGAATGAAGCGCTCAAGTGACACTGGAGGAGAAAAGAACGAAGTTCAGAACACTAACATCCAAAGCTACCCCGACAATCGTACCTCCGTAACCAGGACGACTACGCCCTGCCCATGCCCGCCCGCTCCCGGGTCAGCTTCTCTTTGGCTGCCTCGGGTTTCTCCCTCCGCGTGTGGCCCCTCCCCTCCTAAGCCCCTGCGCCCGGGCCCTTTCCTGCCCCAGACTCTCCCTTCCCCTTTCCTTTCGCTCTTCCGCCCCCCCGCCCCCCCCCCCGCCCCCCCCCCCCCGCTTTCCATCGCCCCTTTTGATTGGCCGTGCACGCCGGAGCCCGGCCGGCCAATCGGCGAACCGGGCTGGCGGCGATGGGCGTGGCCGCAAAGCCGGGCCCTCAGATCGAGGCTGCCACCCCCTCTCAGCCGGCAGCACATTCCGCCGCCGTTGCCGCCGCCGGCCCCGCAGTCGTCTTGGCCAGAGCTGCTGTGGTACCCGGGCTCAGGGCAGGAGAGGGCAGCCAGGGAGCGGAGGCCGCTGAGGCCGGGCGAGAGGAAGGGAGCGGACGGGCGGGCGGCGCAGGCGGCGGCCAGCTTCCTGGGAGCGTCGGTGCGGCGCGGTGGTTGGGGCGGATCCCGCGGGGCCCGGGCGGGGGGGGAGAGTCGCCGGCCCGGCCATGGCGGACAACGAGAAATTGGACAACCAACGGCTCAAGAATTTTAAGAACAAAGGCCGCGACTTGGAGGTACAGTCGGGTTCGCGGCCTCTAGCCCCGGCGGGACGTGGGGTGCGTACGGAGTCGGGCGGGCGCGGCGGCCGGCATGGCGCTGGGCGGGCAGGCGAGCGGCCGTGACGCGAGCGCCGCGCCGGGAAGTTTGTGCCGGGCCTGCTCCGCCTCCGCCGGCGACAGCGCCCGGGCCCGCCGGGTGCGGCCTAGGCCTGTCCTGCGGAGCCGGTCAGACACGGGTGCGGGCGGCCGGAATATCGGCCGCGGCGGAGGCCGAGCAGCGGCGGAAGCTCCGGCTTTGCTCGGGCCCCGACTCCAAGCGTCGCGGGCGGAGGGTGATGGGGGAGCGAGCGGCGACCTCGTAACTTCTCCGGGCCCGAGACGCCTCCACATGCAGGTTTTTCTAATCGCCCCAACTCTGGTTTTACTCCAGCGTCCAAACTACTGGAGTCAACTTCTCCGCTGGGGGGAAAAAAACCCACCCCCGCCGCCAGAGGCTGTCCTGGTGATGCTAGCTAGCAGTGCCTTCCAGCGGCCTGGGTTTCACTCTGGTCTTAGCTAATTCAAGATGTGGCTCACGATGTGCCCTTTTCCAGTCAAAGGATCACCTATCCCCACTCCCTTATTTGAGCTTATCCACAGATCTTTTTTACTCCTCTCTGAGACCACCAGTTTGCATTCTTACATAGACAGTCCAAAGGGTTATACAAAGCTGTCATCCTCTAGTCTTCGGTATCCTTTCCCTCCATCTCCTGGTGGTGGTGGCAGTGAGGAATCGGGTAGGCTGTGGACTGACACCATCACGTATTATTTTAAAAGGGGAAAGAAGGCTTCGTTGTCATAGACACAGCTACTTCCAAGGTTCGATATATTAAACACACAGTTACTTTCCATTGTGACTTTTTTTTTTAAATATAGGGATTTTTTTTTTAAACACAAGTCGTTCTAAGTCAAGAGTTTTGCCTCTTATATGTTCTTGTAACTGTTCTTCAGACCACTGTGGTCTGTTTCCGAACTTGAGCACTTGTGGGATAGAGATAGCAACTTTTGTTTACTTTTCCCAGTACCATTCAGTCTTTTAATGTAGATTGTCCTGTTTTAGCTTATTGCAGTAGTTAGAACAACTGTATTTCTCAGGGTGTGTGTGTGTGGATGTTCAGAGATTGAAGGTTAATGAAGCTTATCTTTGTAATCATTTTTTATAGTGGAAGAAATTTTTTTAAAAAAAATTTTTTAGATTTTGTCTATAGGGGTGTGTTGTCTGGATGTGTGTGTATGTGCATTATGTGTGTGTGCTTGATGTCCAGGGAGGCCAGAGGGCGGTGGCCCATCCCCTGGAAGTAGAGTTACAGCCAGTTGTGAGCTGCCATGTGGATGCTTAGAACTGAACCACTGAACTATTTCTTCAGCTCCCAAATTTAATATCTTTATTGGAGTAATTTACATGTAACAAAAGCCAACTTTTTAAATGTATAATTCATAGTTGTCAATAAATTTACATGTTGAAAAAATGCTGATTTATTTTTACTAATATGAATATTTAGAATGGGAAAAAATCACAAGTTAGGAAATATAAAATATAAAACACCATAAAGTTGGAAATTTCAGAAAAATATCAGGTAGCCAAACAATCTCTCTAATTCTTTTGCTATCTATTTTGAACAGGCTCCTTGAAATGTTATTCACATGCTATACAACTCACCCATATAAAGTGTTTTTTAATGTGTTTAAATAGTTTCACAATCAGCACCTAAGTCAAATCATAGAATATTTACTACTCTTTAAAGAACCCTTGGTATAAGTCATTAGCAGTGATTCTCTTTCTCAGCTACTTCAGCCCAAAACAATGTTTGTTCTGATTACCTATTCTGAATGCTTCATGTAAGTGGAATGTACATTTAATGGTATTTTGTGGCTACCCGACTTGAAGGTTCATCCATGCTGTAACAAGAATATTTCTTAGGTTTGAATAATATCCTTGCATTAGTTATACCACATTGTGTATGTGTTCATCTTCATGGAACCATGGTTAACCCTTTTTATCAGTTACATATTACTGCTATAAGCATGTATGTACACAGTCTTAGGTAACATTTTTACTTCTTTTGGTTACAAACCTAGAATGCTAGGTGATACTGGAACTTTACATCTAACTTTTTATAGGGTTGCCAGACTTTTTCCCTTTCCACCCCTCCCTCTTGTTCTTTTCTTTTGGATAAGGTCTCATTATGTAGCTGTAGCCCAGGATAGCCTTACACTCTCAATCCTTATCCCTTATCCTCCTGAACACTATATTTTACTGGCATTATCCCTGTTGCTCTTTCCCAAATTCTGGGATTGCAAGCATGTGCCACCCTACCCTGTTTTAAGTTATCCTTAAAAAACCCATAATTTACCCTTACTATGTATTTCTTGTAGACTAACAAATTAAATACTGAATCTACTTGACTACTATGATAGGTGATTTAAAACTACATATAAATAAATGCATGTTAGACATATTTTGAGATCATATCTGTAGCCACTATCTAATGACTGAATCCATGTATGTGCATTAGAAATTAGACTACTTTAATTTTTCTACCTATAAATATAACATGACTAAATAAAAATTATTTTATTTCTGTGACTTACTCAAGATCATATAAGCAGATGTTGTTCAGTGGTAAATCATAATATGTATGATTGGTGTCTTGGGTTTGATCCCCAGTACCACAAAAGAAAACAAAAGCTTCTAAAAATGATGAGTACTTTGTAATGAGACAGAAACATCTTTTATCACTTCTAGACAGTCTATTTGTTGATTTGTTACTTATATGCCAGAATCTTTCCAAAGCCTGTATGTACATTTTCTCCTCCAGATAGTTACTGCATTATGTTATGTATGTAATATATATATACACATTATATAACATAATATAGTTACTGCATTGTTACGTATATAATGTATGTAAAATTTAACAGATACTAAGAAAATACTGCTTTTTGGGTTGCGTCTTAATATTTATGTTTTGGAGGAAGCTGGCTATTGCTGTACAGGGTGAGTTAGCTTAGTATATCCTAAAGGCTGTTTTAACATATAATCCAGCCTTAAAAATGAAATATTTCACATGACATGATTCCTTTCTTACTAACTTTTCAAAGTCCAGTTTGTATTTTACCATTAGGTTATTTCTCTGTTGAGACCAGCTATATCCTAAGTGAGCAGTAGTATTATATGGATGGTAGCTACCTTATTAGACAGTGTGTGTGTGTAAATACACAACTGCATGTAGATTGAGGCAATTAAGACATGTGGGGAAGAGGTTGATTAAGATGAGGACAGAATCTGCCAGTTTAATTTAATTTTAACTGATGTCTAACTTTGTGTGTGACCTTGGAAGAATCATTTAAGTCTTAGGATTCCTTTCATCTACGAAAATAATAGTGCACAACATGTGCCTTATGAAGGAATGCTATGGCCATTAGCAGGTTAGTGTCAGTGAGATAGACGCCTGACAACTCACTGTAATTCATCTTTCTTATTGGAGAGAGAGGCCTCTAAAAGGATCTCTTGCTCCCTTATTTGCAGTTAGCTGTGTGTGGTTTTTAGGTTTTTGTGTGTGGTTTGTTTGTGTGTTTTTTCTGTGTGTATATGTATAAAACTTATGTTAAAGAGTCAATGGGGAATTGCCTATTAGAGGGCAATTGGGCACAATGATGTGACCCTCTGAAGTCATAATTTTATAGATTCATAGATTTCTATTTAATATTCATTAGTACCTTTCCGTATATCAATCCAGCTCCTTCAAAAAATACTCATGATTTTTTTTGAAAGACAGAAGTCAAAGGAAGTGTTTGTGAATATTTATTTGAAATAATGTTTAAGGAGTTATTAGATGATACTCATCAAAGCTTGACTTATTTCCTGTAGTGTGGTAGAGAATTGTCCAGTGCCAGTTTGAGGGTACTAACATAAAGAAGGTTATACAGTACAATATAGGAAATGGATAGTGACCAAATTGCCACTGAGATTTGTCAAGAGTAAGCAAATTAAGATCATCTATTTCTAAGCAAGTTTACTGGTTCAAATAGAATATAAAATATGTTAGAAAAGTAATTAGATCTTGTGAAAACAACTTATGCTAAGTATGAGTGTTAAAGTACCACATAATTTTGAGTATAAAATATGAAGTCAGGTTGGAAAGGTTTAACAAAGGTGCTGTGCTGTTTTGTTTTTGGGAAATAGCTTTGTTGGCTCAGAGTGCACAGAGAGAAAAACACTGCTAAGCTGGTAAGTCTTATAACTTTAGAGACTGACCTCTCTCATCACAAATCTTGGAACATACTTACTGTGCTTAAAATAACTACTGTCTAATTTTTCAAATAATAGTTCAAGCATGAAACAATATGAGATCTCTGATAGAAATATCACTAGGATTTAAATTACTGCTTTAGCTTCCTATCAGCTTTTCTGGTTTATAAGACAGCTGACTTCAGAATTGCTTCATTGTTAATTTTCTTAAAACACTAAGACATCCTTGTTTTTCATAGTTTACTAGTATGGCAAATGAATATGCACTATTGGGAAGAATGTATGTATGGGTGGTTTTGAAAGAATGAAACAACTTTAGGAAAAATGCATATATGGATGCTTGTTTTGATGTTGTTTTGGGGGGCAGTTGAGCCCAAGCTCTTGTGCTTTCTAATATAATCATTTGGCTTTGGGTGTTTTTATTTTTGATACAGGAGCTCACCATGTAGCCCCTACCTAACCTGAAATTTGTTGTATAGATCAAACTGGCCTTGAACTCACAAAGATCTGCCTGCCTCTATCTTTGAAGTGCTGGGATTAAGGACTGCCACACTGCCACTACACCCTTAATATAGTTGTTTGGGTTTTTGTTTTGGTGGGGTTTTTTTTAGCATTTTTATTTTATGTGTATGGATATTTTGCCTGCATGTATTTCTGTGTAGCACATGTGTACCTGTTGTTTGCTGGGGCTAGAGGAGGGTGTCATATTCCCTGGATCTAGATT